TATCTATCTATCTATCTATCTATCTATCTATCTATCTATCTATCTATCTATCTATCTATCTATCTATCTATCTATCTATCTATCTATCTATCTATCTATCTATCTATCTATCTATCTATCTATCTATATTGATCGCTTTCATTCTGAACTCCAGAGCGAATCATCTGCGATCAAGGAAGTAGCAGATATGTTTGGGGCTATTCCACCCAAGAGTCTACTATCAGCAAGTGTAGAAGAGATGTTGGTGTCCGTTTCAAAATTAACTTCTCTCTGTTGAGTTATCAGAAGATGAACTTTTAACAGAAATACCAAGGCTTAGAAGACACCTATGGGCAGGTGATATTGAATTTCACAAAGTCATGGACAGGTTAGTATTTGATTTTTTAAATTCATAACTGAATTGGACTTCCTAGACTCTCTTCCAATACTCTCATAAGCTTTCAAATGTTTCTTACCATAGGTGTGTGTCTGTGGCTTCATTTGAGCGGAGCTTTTCAAAACTACTACCCCACCCCATCTGTCAACAAATGTCTCACATTTGCAACCCCCTATTTTATTGACATAATTACATAATTAATAGACGCCCCCTAAATGAACTGCACATTCCAAAATGACATGGTTCCACACCCCTGCTCTAGTCTGAAAACTTAGAGTTAAAACTTAGGGCTTAGAGTTAAAGAGGATAAAAATAAAAATCCACATTACATTTTTCATTCGTTGCCCACTTTATGTTCACTCAGATTCTGGGAAGAAAGCACCGAAGACGATCGACAGGGGCTGTTTCAATTCGGCTATTCCCTTTGAAATTGAAAGTGAAAGAGCGAACAACGAATTAAATGGCGAAGCAAGCAAGAGTATTATTAAATAATTCTTATATATTATTTAATAATAATTTATTACTATTACTGTTATTTTCTTCAATGTTGTCGAGTGTACTATGCCCCCAACTTGGAACTGGGACCCTAGACTTAGACACAAAATCCAAGACTTGTACCAAGGTAATTTCTAGAACTAGACTAGGACTAGGGGTAATAGTAATATGTCAATAAAATTATTTAATTTAGTATTTAAAATTATTTTTAATAATTTAGTTTGCATTTTAATATTATATTTGTTTATTTGTTAACGAATCAAGTTTTAAATGATAGTATTTGTAGAAATCACATTCTATTCTTGCCTTGGCTTGGCCATCAAAATCAAGGCATCATGTCAATGTCCACTCCATTTCTGATGAATACCATAATAATAATAATCATATACATTATAATATGAATTATGCACGTTTAATTTCTATGTCTTATTATGTAGCTAGCCCTGACTGACTGGATAAAAAAAATTAAATTGATGACTGAATTACATCAGTTAGACATGACATAACACATATAATTAATAATACATTTTTACATCAGAAATAGTTCAAAAAGCCAACTGTAGTTTCAGGTACTTATCTGGACCCAATTTTCAAATTGAATTTACATCTTTAAGACCTAGCCTAGTTTAGTTGTTATATTTATATAGATAGGACTTGAATAAACCAATCGATTGATACCAAATTTATGGTTGTGAATAGTGGATCAATTCTAAAATAAGTTATGATTTTTTGGTGAATTATTTTGGGATAACCTGTACCGTACATGGTTAGTTCATGGAGACATTTGAAAATATAAAATGACTAAAATAAAAAATGGGCAGAGAATTTTTGGGAGAGCTGCCGCTCTGTGGTGTTCATGGAGGAAATATAGTCAGCGTACACAAGATGTCAGTGTTGGAAACTTTAATAAAATTGTTGGGGTAGGGTGGGGGAAAATTTATTTGCCCATTTTTTTTAGATAATTGGAGGTTAAATAGCATAAAGACAATGAGTCTCCTGTCGTAGGCCTGATCTAATCTGAAATTCCCTTGAATATTCTCCTTGAGCCTTGATTTTGCTTTTTGAGTTGTTTAATGTTACATGTATCAGGCTTATCAGTTTGCTGGGTATGCCGAATTCCTGCATGAGTCTCATATAGATATTTTCTTTGATGCTGTCATAGGCCATTTTATAGTCCACATAGAGCTGATGTACTGGGTTAATATATCAGTAACATTTCTCTAATAGGCACCTGATGGTGAAAATCTGATCAGCCATTGATCTGTTTTGCCTGAATCTAAATTAGTTGTCACCAAGTATTTGTGCAGTGTACTGTTGTAGTCTCTTGGCAATTAGTTTTGTCAGTATTTTATATGTTAAATTAAATTGGGGAATTCCTCTATAGTTTGTGCATTGAAGTTTGAAAGCCTTCTTGTGTATTGGGGTTATTAGTGCTGTTGGAATTTTCACTTTTTGCCAGATTTCAGTTATGTTTATGTGTCTGTTTGTTTAGTTCCTTTCTCCATATTTAATAAGATCTGCGGAGATGAGATCTTCTCCGTGGGTTTTGTGGTTTTTAATATAATTGATAATTTCTTTAGTTTCTTCTAGAGTTGGGGAGTTTATAAAAGTGTCTGGTCCTCCATGTGATGGTTGATAATCTTCATCTTGTCTATTGTATGCATTTAGTATGTCCTCAAAATATTCATCCCACTTCTTCAGTACTTTACTATTTTCCGTAATTAATTCTCCATCCTGGCTCTCACACATTTGCGGTCTGGCTTGGTATTGGTATCCATTCTGTTCATCTTTTATCTTCATGTACATTCTTCTGATGTTTCCCTCTCTTGATAAGTCTTCTATTTCTTTAAGCATAGCTTTTTCCCATTCTCTCTTTTTATTTCGACACATATTTATGGCTTTCCTTCTGGCTTCCTTGTATGTTTGTGTTGTCTTTCTGGTTTCCCTTTGTGTCATAGTCATTCGTGCTTTGTTCCTTTCTTCGACAATCTCTCTGCATTCATCATCAAACCAGCCTACTCTAATGTTAGTTTTCTGGAATCCTAGTACTTAAACCAACTTTTGTTCATTTTGCACCCACACTCTACAATCATTTAGTTCTTTAAAAAAGCTTCAAAATTACCCAGAGAAACGTAATTTGAGCTCATAGTTTAAAAAAGAAATTGTTACTATACTTAATTTAAGTTTAGAAAGAAAATTAGCTAGTTACACACCAGGTCTATTAAATTGTTTTTTACAAGAAGACCCATCACCATTTTTAAAAATGACGACTGCTCATTTCCCCTGCTCTTCTCCTCCATCAACCCCACCATCTTCCCTACCATCAGCCCTACTATCCCCACACCCTCTATCCCCTTATCCTAAGTCTCACATTTAAGCACTTCCCATTCAGCTGGCCTTCCCTAAAAACCCGGATTTCTCCTAAATCTGACTGATCCCCAATCCTCCTTAGCCTCCTCTTCCCTCTCAATAACCACCCTCAGCCCCTAAATCTCCTCCCCTTCAAACTGAGCCCATACCCCCCCCCCTCTTTCCCCATTATTCTTCCACCAGCTATCCCCTCCTTCCCACAAACATTTTACTTTATGTGTAATTTATTAACCTACTTGTCCAACCTACATCTCCTACCTACCTGTCCCTCCTCCTGTCCCCATTATTCTTCCACCAGCTATCCCCTCCTTCCCACAAACATTTTACTTTATGTGTAATTTATTAATATACAACCCTAACCCTATAATGAAACCCTAACCATCTTCGCCCTCTATCCGTCTTCTTCCTTGCCCAATGTCATCAATCTTCCTACTTATTGTCACCTTACCCAAAACCTCACCCAACTTACCTTCTTAGCTTTCCAGCTAATTCGCCTACAATAACCCTACTTTTACGAGCAATTTACTTAATGTCTATCATTCTTTCATATTTCATTTAGTCTTTTGAAACTGAAGCAATAAAAATAAGATGGATCAACTAAAAAAAAAATTAACGAAATAGAAATCATTTTCTTTTCATAATTTTAGAGATTTAAACATAAGAAGCATATTTTAGCAGTGACTAATCAATAATTAATACTTTTTTGATACCGGTAAGCCTGTACATAACTTTTGAAATAATATATTTCTTGCAGGCATTATTCTTCCCGTGATTCTTAACAATACAATTTAGTGCAGATCTAAATTTCACACTCAGCCTGCATCAATATGAATTTAAATTTAAAAAGAGAAACCAAATGATCTGAAAATGCGCATCTTTATGTTGAATTAAGGAGTGTACAGGCTGTAAACAAAATAGACTAATTGTAAAAAAACTTATTCCTTATTTTTGGTTAACATTCCAAATATTGCTTTAAAAATTATGGTGTACTAGTAGTTTAAAATGACATATAATTATCTGTAGTAAAATAGCTCTATTGATAGTTCCATTGCCTAATTCCACTGCTCTTGTCTTCCACCACGACCACTATCAAAAAATATTTCTAGAAATACTAGAATGCCCCTGGCGTTATAATTAAAAATTCTTGTTAAAAACAAAAAAAACCTAATATTTTTAAATTGTTTCAACTTTTCAGATTGATTACATGATCTCTGTTAGCTCCAATTCAAAGTAAGTATTCTTAAGAATCTTAGAATTACACACCACTTACTGCCAATATCATTAACTTTAACTATGATTAACTATAATACCAGGTACTGAACATATTTCAGTCTATTGATTTAAAGTGCAAATTAATTTAATATTATATTTTCCCACAGTCTATCCACAAATTTCGGCTTTAGTTTAGAGCAGGGGTCCTCAAACTTTTTAATCAGGGGACCATTTCATTGTTCCTCAGACAATGGTGGGGGCAAGACTACTTTCAAAAAAAGAAGAAAGAAATGGATATTAATGCAAATTGCACATATCTCTAAAAAAAAAACAGGAAAACAAAGCAATATTTAAAATGAAGAACAATTTTTATTAATTATAAAGTGATTTGTATTTCAATGGGAAAAGTTGGACTTCTGTTGGCTAAATAGATGTTGAATTTCCGGTAACTGTATGGCAGCCCGACGCGTTTGGTTAAAGACCCTTTGTGGGCTGGATCAGGCCTGCTGGCCATAGTTTGAGCACCCCTGGTTTTGAGGAACATTCAAAAAGTATTTCAGTGGAAACATTTATTTTTATTTGGCAGCTGCTTGTTACCAGAACTTTCACAGATTGATCCTATACAGGTAATTTAATACACTGACAACATGCGTTTTTCTTATAAAAAAAAAGATTAAGAAGTGTGAAAATTGATACACATTTTGAAAAAAAAACAAAAAACAATGCTTACAGTTACAGCTCAATAAGTTAAGTTTTATAAAAAAGAACTGCTTGAACAATTACAAAAAAAAAAAAATGATGAGAATGATTAAAAATGTTATTTGATCATAACAGGTCTATAACCTATAATGAAAATATCTTAGTCTATGTTCATCTGGCACAAAGCATGCATTTGAAAGTATGTTGACACATTCTTATTTGCCACACTCTACTTTAAGCATTTTTTGGTTTATATCCCAGCTTTAGAAGTCCTCTCAAAATATTATAACCACCCCCCCCCCCCCCCCCCCTTTTCCCTCTTCTGAGGCCTTATTGGCTTCCTTTTCCCTTGTCAGTGTTACAAATTTGCTGCTGTTTCTGCAAACAGTGTGTGTCATTTCCCCTTCCAGATCCTGTATTGTACTTTAAGGACTTCAAGGTTCCTTACTAGTTCATGGCAACTTATACATTTTCTATAACACTGATAGAAAACCTGTTTTTCCATGTTTTGCGGGAATAAATGGTGTGTGGGATGGCATTACTTGCAGAATTTTACTGTTCTGTGTGTATTTTTTGCTGACCAAAACATTAAATTGATGTAATTGAAGCAATCTCAATTTAAATGTAGATTTGCTGGTTAGTGTGATAGCTCTAGTTGAGAAACTTAAGTTAGTCTTTTTTCCTTGCTTGCTAATTAAAGTTAAAGTTAGTTTGTTATTTGTTGTTTCAAGGCATATGACGGCTTATTTTTTTGCACTTGAGAAGTACTTAACATGTCTTGTGTTAAGTTGTTTATGTTAAATAATATGTCTTAGTAAGAATATTTGTGCTCAAAATTAATGTGTAAATTGTAATCTAAAGAATATTTCCATTTTTTTTTTATCAATAAAAGAATCTTATAATACAGAAAGCATATTAACTTTTATTCACAGGTTAATTCCACTGCAAATGTTTACAACAAAACACTTAAACAGTATATGTTTAAACATGAAAATTCAAAACAAATGAAAGCTTTAACTGAAATGAAACAAGCAGTAAAAACAGGATGTCAGCAAGAATGGTAGGTTTAATGGATGTAGAAAGTTTTTATCAGCAAATATGTCCTTGTTATCTCCTTTCTCAATGAGAAAAATATAATCTTACATACCACAAATAAATTGTTACCAAAAAAAAAAAAAAATAAAATAAAATCCACTTTTTTAAGCACGTTCCTCGGATAATGGCTACTTAAAGACTTTAAACCAATTCTCAATGAGAAAAATATAATCTTACATACCACAAATAAATTGTTACCAAAAAAAAAAAAAATAAAATAAAATCCACTTTTTTAAGCACGTTCCTCGGATAATGGCTACTTAAAGACTTTGAACCATGAGCAAATGTTCTAGACTAAAAAAAAAATAAGATCAATTAAAAAAAAGAAATAACAATAATGCAATTTTTGTTTTATTATATTACTGAATTAAATTAAACTTCTTTATTGGATATATTTGAAACTAAGTTTAATATTTAAATATTAGTGTCAAATAATATAAATCTGATACCAAAAACTAGTGTTGCTGATATATTTAATGATACAGCTTAGTAACAAAGTAAACAGCATTCCTCTTAATTCTTATTGGCCTGCATTGCCAAGAAAATTTACAAGGAAGATTACCCTGTTGAAAATATAAATTGAAAGCAAATTAATTGATGTACCGGTAGTGATTTTTGCTAATGATCTTGCAACATTTTTGAAGAAAAAAAAAATGAATCCTATATTTTGTGGTTCATCCTTTATCTAAATGTTCCAGGAGATTAAGTGGTAATTGTAGGATTTGGCCTATGGTGTGGTTTCCTCAAGGACTGCAGGATAATTGTACAACAGATATCCCATTTGGATGCTTCAATGACAAGTCTGGGATAAAGAATGGCACCTGCAATTCAGAGGTAAAAGTTCTTTACAGAATTGTGAAGTGCTGGAATTCCAATTCTGAAAATACTCAAAATGATATCTTTTCATCGGTTATTTCTGTTTTTAAAAAAAAAAAAATTTGTTATGAGTGAACTTAAGTTGAAAAACTTTTGAAACTATATATTTTGAAAAAAAACTAAAATTGTATTGAAATCAGTTATTTTTTTTTTTTTTATATAAAAAACCAACCAAACCCTGAAACATCACCAAACATGTTTTGTTATCTTAGAATTGGTTTCTAAACCCCTGACTTGTGTTCTTTGCTATGGCTGAATAAATTTAAAACAAGGTTTAATGACAGTGCATTCATTTCCATTTGACATGATTTCTATATAGGTACATACCCCCTGATGAAACAGGATTTTAAATTATGTATGTCAGGGTAGTGCGCACTTGAAAAAAAAAATAAAAAAAATTGAAGTGGATTTTAGAAAGCTAAATTTTTTATTGCCTGTAAAAAGCTGCCATATTTCTTAATTTGCTTTTATATTGACTCTACAAAATATCAGTTTAAAAATTTCAAATAAAGGTGAGAAAAGAAATATTACACTCGGAGGGTTAGATTTTTTGTTGACATGCTTCCATGATAAACAAAGTTTAAGTAACAAAAGAAGTGTTAAAATGTGTCAATTTAACTGATAAATTTGCTTTAAAATTTCAGAAGGCTTTTAACAAAAGTGACACCATATACTTTTATAATAATGTTGATATAAATATAAAATATCAAAAGTTGTCTGAGAACCATGAGCAGGGAACCTCGGAAATAATAATTTTATCTGTGAACATCACACCAACAAGGTAGGTACTTTGAGTATTTTGACATCAGAATACATTTTTACCAACCTAACTGGGTTCAAAATTTGGGGGATTTGATTAAAACTTAACTTACTTTCAAATTGGAGACCCATTGCAAAAATTCAGGTCATTAGAACTAAAGTTGCTGATTTGCATAAGCTAGAAAATAGACAGACTCATTTTATTTTTAATTGAATAGATTTAATACTTTTAAAGCTAGGTTCATATAAATGATTTTATTTTAGCTTGTCAACACAAATTAGAATTGTGGGCTTGGAGGACCTTACATTTGAATATTTACAACCATTTTTAATGGGTAGATCTGGATGGAAAATACGAACCAACCAGGAGTTGTATCAGGATCCCACGCAAGTAGCGGAAATAAGAAAGGGGAGGCTATGCTGGGTGGGTCACTTAGAAAGAATGCCAAATGACAGAGGAATGAAGAGGGTACACCACCAAAACCCCAGAGGAAAATGGCTCAAAGGTAGACCTAGGCTTAGATGGATGGATGACATTGAAAAAGATCTACCGGTACTGCAGCTGGGAATCTAAGCATAGACAATGGAAAAGAAAAGCATCAGATAGGTTTGAACGGAAGAAAGTGGTGAGGCAGACAAAAGGTCTACAAGGGCTGTTGCGCCATAAGGATGGATGGATAGACTTGACAAAAATTTCAAAACAGACAACATTTTAAGAAAATTTATCCCTATATGTGAATTTTCCTTTTTATAAAAAACCAAAAAAACCAAGAGTTCAACTGCCATTTATTAAACATAGTTTTCTTTGCAGCAAAGTCATGTGATGATCCTTGAAGCTTTCACGTGAACCTATCATCATTAACATCACTATTTATCACTTATTTTCACTGTAAAAGTGAGACCTTTAAAACAATTTGTCATTAAATTATTATTTGAACATTTTAATTTTTTTCTCCTAATATTGACAGTCAAAAAAACGGTAGCCATGAAAATGCCTCTCCTGTTGCAGTTTCTAATGGTGAACGTTCACTTGGGGATCTCAGTTTTAATGTGACCTATTCCATTACCTGGAATGAAATGGTGAGTTTTTCTTACATACCCTGTCACTGTCTTTGTATCATGAGAAAATAATTCCTCTAAAATGTGGAGATAACATCATGCTGAATTGAAACAGAAATTGTTTTTTTTTATCAACATACAGGTACTACTTTATTGTATAGTAGCTAGACAAATAAGTACTAGATAAATTAGGTTTAGACATATTAGGAATAGACAAATTAGGACTAGATAATTTAGGACTAGAGAAATTAGGACTAGAGAAATGAGGACTAAACAATTTAGGACTGAAAAAATTAGGACTATGGTATTCAAAAAGTAGAGTTAGTGATCTGCATTGGATGTAAGTAAAAGTATCTCCTACTCTTATATGGACTTGGTCCAAGTCTCATTCCTTCCCCTTTTGAGGATTTATTTTACTAGTGATTTCATTTCCTGACCTTAGATTACAAATAGTTTTATCAACTTATATCAGATTATGAAGTGTTTGATGACAAGAGCTGATAATAAATGAGAATAATGCAATTTTCATTTTTTTTTCAGAAAACCTTTTAAGAAATAACTTTTGAAGGAATTTAACGCATATATTCACAATTTTTCTGAATATTGCTGAACAGAACCATTAAATTAGTACTATAATTGTCTAGCACTCTAATTTTAGACTATGAATGTCAATATTTTATGGTTCAGCCATATGACACCAAGCTTGTTTTTTTTTTCTAAAGCACACATAAATATAAACAAAATATGTTATCACAAATTATGAACTTCTATGGATATCATATTAAAGTTCTATCTTGTGTTGGCTAAATATTTTAAAAAACCTGACTCATGACAAAACTAACTGACTTAAACTTAGGTGAGGCATCCCAACCGGTTTGAAGTTTTGTCCCGGTTTATATCTCAGTTGAAACAAAATTCATATCCAGTCCAGCGGCAAACCTCGAAGGTGGTGTGAATGGCATGACTATTAATATATAATTGATATGTGTGTGTATGCAAGGAGTTGCATTTATTTTAGGGTACACTACTAATCCTGTCTATATAAGTTATCTCATACATGTTAAGATCATATCTCGGTTGGTATCAACTTAACATAAAATATATGTGTAATAACAGTTAAGATCTAAGCTTATATTATAAAATAAATGTTCATTTCTGTATATCCATACATGATGTCACTCTAATTTTAACAGAATTTTTTAAACATACACCAACTCTCCCAAATCACAAATTTGTAATGCAAATTAGAAACTTTTATCACCCATAAGATGCATGACATTGTTTATGGATGTGCCCTAAGAACACGAATAAATTTGATGCCTCTATAAATATAAGGCATATGGCAAATGTGCCTGCAACCTGTTTGAATTGACAGTCTTCTCATGGAAGTCCCAATTAATTAGCTTCTCAGAAAATTAAGACTAAATGAATAAAATAATTTCTTAGAAATGAATAGTCGTTCTATCCCCAAATTCTCAACATACATAATGTGGCTTTTCAGTGGCGTAGCTAGACTAAATGATGCCCATGGCGAACATCCAAAATTTTGCCCTGACACATATAATATTGGTAAAATCCTTAAAGCGTTGTTGGGGGATCTCTTCCTTTTGCCCGCATCTAGGTACAAACTTAGGTACCAATTTTAACCCTTAAACTTATGATAATTCTACTTAACACCTTAACACGAGTTCTCAGCATTAAGGAACTGAATGAAAGGGTTTCCTTTAAAACTGCTTTTATTGTTTTAGTGTTATCAGCAATGTAACCACTTTGCTGCACTCATGTGGCCAGCATTCTTAATTTTATTAGGGAAGAATAAGAAAGAAATTTGTTAGAAAGTAAACTTTATTTCTAAAAATGTTTAAAAAATTTTCTATTATGTTGTCGTACACATTCTTCCATAATATTATTTTTTATTTTTAGCATTTCAGTATACATGATTGTACATAAAAGCACACAAAAGCATATTCCAGAGGTTTGCGTCTGATCATTCCATCCACATGTGGTTCTTGAAGCTGGCATTGATAATCTTTTAAGCATACAAAATAATGATGGGCAAAATGTATAATGGTCAAACATTGATGCGTTTATTTTGTATTGTTTAAATGATCTTTCTTTTAAGATTATGTTCTGGTAACATATTGTGACTGAATATTCTGGTAACATATTGTGACTGAATATTCTGGTAACATATTGTGACTGAATATTCTGGTAACATATTGAGACTGATGTTTCTGGTAACATATTGAGCCTGGTGTTTCTGGTAACATATTGAGCTTGATGTTTCTGGTAAAATATTGAGACTGAAGTAACTCATCTTCAATTTTTTCACAGGCAAAAGGAGCAGACAGTTCATGCAATTGGTGGGTACACTCTCCAGTTCTTTTTGTTTGAATTTTTTTTTGCATCTTTCTATAATAATGTTAAAAAACACTGCAGTCATGTTTTTAAATTTTACTAAAATGGACTGAGAAAAAAAGTTTCTTATGAAAATGAAATGGATAGAATCCTATAGTTACATTGTAATCAAGAACACTTTAAAGTTATTGGATCAAGTTTCTTTGAGTCCGCAGCAAATAAAAAAAAAGCAACAAACATTTAGTGTGAAGTTTAAGTGTCAATATGCAAAAATAAAATGCTTGAAGTGCAAAATCTATTCATCTCAATCATATAATATAAGATTATTTTATTCATCCAAATAAATATAATTTTAAAAATTAATTACATAGTACTTGTACTTAACATTTTACTTATTCCTTCCCTTAAAATGAATAAATACATATTTTAACCAAGACATTTTACAATTAGAAAAAATTAAATGAAAGACATCTCAAGTATTTCTCGACAAATACTAATTGTTAAAACCAAAATTTACGTTTCTAAGTTTGAAATTGAAACTGTGGCATTATTCATCTTTTCCTGTCAATTCAAAATGGCAAATAACCGCCACTATGGCATCATGTTTATGGATGGAAAATGTAAATTATGTATATATTATGACCCTGCTTTTAGACATCGTTACAAATAAAACAGTAATTAAGCTGTGTATTTTAAGCTCTGGATTTTAAGTCTTACACTTAACATAAATTTTGTTTAAAATTTTAAAAGTAAAATTGACACTTATTTTAATTTTCAGGCTCATAATTGTAGGAATTGTGATTGGTATTTCCATTGCTATTCTTGTTTGGGTTGTTGTCAAACTCATTCAAAGGGCAATTGACAAGTTTATAAGAGAAAAAGCAACAGCATACTGTAAGTTCTAGTCAATAAATAGTATTCTTGTTAGAATTAGAATGATAGCCAAGATAAATAATTAATTCATGCAAATATTGTGAAAGAACAGGTTTAAAATAAGTTTAATTAAATTGCTTCATTCTGAGCCAATACATTTATCCAATAAAATCAACTTGAAGTTATGCATTTGATCATTATGGGGCACTAATAGATGTATCACTAGGCAGTTATTGTACATTTTATAAGTATTTTAACCTAGAAATTGATGTTTTGATTATAATTAAATACATCTAAATCTAATTACTATGATATTAATTTGAATAGATTTAAGTGGGAACAGAATGAGTGAGAATTTTAAAAAAAGTTATATAGAAGACATTTTTATATAATTTTCTTAATAAAGGTACATAGTATTGCTCAGGGCTCTTTGGTTTTTATTATATTTCCTCTGTTGATTATATTCTTACTTTCTCTTTCTTCTCCAGAATTTCAGATCCAGCAAGCGTTAAATTTCCAATTTAATATGAAAACATTATACTCTTTATAAGTGTAGAAGAATTGAAGTTAAAAAAAATCTATTTGAAGAAACTTCCCAGTCCTAACAACAAAAGATTTTAATTTTAAAAATTTGGAAGCCTAAGAATTATTATTTGTATCAACAATTTTGGAGATAATGTTCCATAAATAAAATAATGGATGCATTCCATGTCACAAGGAGTGACTATGCCAAATCTGCAAATCAATATTTTTTGCTGCATACTCAAATTTAGTGTTTCCTTTTCATTTAGGGTAGGTCATGCCTTTCCTAAAAAAGTAAAATTCATTTTACGGTCATTCTTATCAAAATTTGTGGAGAAAAAAGACATAACGTTTTAGCTTTATTATAGCAACCATTTTTTTATATAGGATATTTTAGTCTATAAATTTCGGTCCTCAAATTAGGTTAAGGCAGTTTTTTTGTGTGCAATTTATCAATAAGGACAGGAATAAGACTGGACATTTTCACAGTATTGCTTAACCATTCTCAATATACCATATAAATGACAATCATTAAAATGCAATACAATCTATAAACCCACCTTTTTAGATTGAGCATGTCTGGGTGGCTTTTTTTTTTAGATTATGGAGAATGTTAATATTGAAGCAAGTATGTTGTTAAAAAAAAGGGTGGGGGGTCACATATTTGTGATGAGGGTGTCAAATTTTCTTTGATGATTTGTGATGAAGGGGAGGGAGGGGTAAACAAAAGGGACAAAATAATTTTACATCATTTTGGAAGGTCACTGTATAAAAAAAATAATTAATTTCTCAAGAGACAATTTTTAACATTTAACTATAATGTATTACCAGTATATAGAAGGTAATAAATTGGTAGCAATTATTTTTAAATTTAAGATCAATTTATTGTAATTATCACTGAAACCAACAAGAAAAATATTTTTTTTTATGGTGTTACTTTTCTCTATTGCTCTGATCTACTTAAATTTGTACAAAATGTCTGAAAGGTGATACTGTTATTGTAATTAAAAATATTTTTTAATTAATATATTAAATCAAACCCTTCAGCACTTTTGACATATGCATCAAAGTGTGATGCATGAATGGGTTGCTTTAAGGTGTGTTTTATGTCGGATTCAGGGGTGGGGGAAGCTCAAATTTGTCACTTAAATACTGCCATATCAGAATTGTCATATTTATTTATGCCAGTAACTCCTATGTATTTATTAGTAATACCTTTAACTTTTGGCTTTAAAAAAAAATGATAGCGATGGCTGTCCACCTTTCAGTTCTTTAAAAAAAAGGATTGTACGTAACAAACTAGCAAACACTTGAAATCATTATTTGAAAATAGTTTTTTTTAAATTAGATGAGTGGGCGATTCGTTTTATTCTTTTTATGAATAAGATTTTTTTGTAGTGAACAAAGATAATCATAAGAAGCACAGTAGGCTACTGACACACAGAAGTACTCCCATAAGTTTATACTAATACAGGTACCAGTAATGAGTCACTCAATCATGGATGTTCTCCCATTTACGGTATTTAATCATTGCCATTAGGGGAAAGAAGATGAAAAATTATTAATTTCTGCGCAAGCAAAGCTAGGCCAGTGTTTTCTTCGACTTCTTCTTCTTCTATATATGAAGGGCCCACGATCAATTTATTGATCATTTTGGCTCCTATGCATGTAGAGGGGATTTGCAATGTTTCTGTGCCTACTGTAAAAAAAACTTATCATTCAATGTTATTTGTTTTTTTTTTTTAAATGTGTGATTTTACTGTTAGAGAGACATCAGAAAGGTTAGTTGGTTGTTTGAAATTCTGAATTGTATTTTATTTGTTAAAATTTTGCAAAAAAAAATTGTATTTTAATGTCAGGTCATCAAGTTTCTAATATACTAGTTATAGACCTTAAGATGTAACATGTGCTAACTTGCTTAAATTGAAATCATTTTAAAGGTGTTGTGTGTGGTCACTGTGGTTAGAACTGGGTTAACAACCCTTCAATAATTATACATGGAATAAATTAGCTTAATAGGATTCAGCATTAGGAATGTAAGCCAATGTTTGAAAAAACTCAACTTGGCATCACTGCCTCTTTCAGTCATATTCTCATTCATACCCCAAAAGGCAGCAAGCAGTCCACACGGGATCATCATCTTAAACAGATTTTAATAATAATCATATTCATGTTCTTTTCCTTTTGCTCAACGAATTAGTGAATGTAAAATTCTGTCGCTTAGTATTAGTAATATACATATGATTTATTTGAAGACATAGTATGCACCATTGAATCTCAATGATGTAAGATACATTTTAAAATTTCTCTCAAATGTATTTATTTAAATTGAATTTCATTGGAATGTTCAAAATCAAGTGCTAATGCTCTTAACATGACTAAGATATTCACAAATACAGGAACTGTGTTTATGAGCTCCCTTGTATTCTGACTAGCAGTTTTTTGACTCAATTGCATCTAAAGGTTTTTCTACCACACATTGTTTATTGATTTTACAATAACTGCCACACTGTCTGATTTCCTTCTTCTTTCTTCATGAAGTACAAAAAATTGTATCTCATGATACAAATCCAAGAAACAGATAACAGCAGCTTGTTGATCGTTAAACTCTCTGATGGACCAACACTCCAGTCACCCTCAAAAATAAAATCCCTATCAGACTGCCAACTCTCAACACGACACAACAACACTCTAACTAACTTCCACCCTGTCTTCACACAGCATTTAAACAACTCATTTATTGACCTTGCACAACCCGACCACACACACCTGGCCCTCATAAAAAAATTCTCCAATTCACGATCAACAACTATTCCACAAACAATCACGCTCAGAAATCCATTCCATAACGATAGTGACAATTTTTAACTGAACAAATTACAATTGAAATGTGAGCATAGACTCTATGTTATTAATGGTATACATTTTTTTTTAAAACATAATTTCTGAGCATACATTTTATTTTTTACAATTTTATTGCACAGAATCTCTCTTTTATTAATATCTTCAAACATAGGGTACATTTATAATGGGCTACATCTGTTTATGTCCACAAACATAGGCTACACTTATATTGGCCTGCATTTATTTTTTTAAAAAGATTTGAAATATTTTTATGGTTAAATTTGATTTATTTTTCATCTCTATGAAGTTGCATAGTTTAGAACACATCGCACCACGAAACAAAGGCGTGCAACTCAATAAGAAAGCCATAAGTGGACGATATTTTAAAAACAACTTTTAATTGGAGTCTGTATAGGAAATACTATTTTTCAACAAATCTGTAATTTCAATTTTTATAAAACAACACAGGAGATACATTTTTTAATAATAGAACAAATGTCATCTGCTGTTTTTTGTACAATTACAATTTACATATGTCGTCAATTTAACATGTTTGGATTGTATAAATAAAACTTTTTCAATTTTATGAAAAGTGCTGTGTTATGAGATAAAATTTTAATTTAAAAAATCAAATAAAACCACTTTATAATTTCATTTTTCGTGCATATTTATTTTTATAGTTTGTTTCGATAATTTTATATATTAAAAAAAAAGGCCAACATTTTTGCCCCCCCCCCCAAACCAAAAAAAACAACAACAACAAACACAAACTAAAATACCCCCCCCCCCCC